CCCACCCTAGCCTGCAATTCAAAAGTTACATAAAATTAGGAGAACACCCACTTCCCTGAATATCCCATCTGGAAACCTCTGCAAACTAGTTTTTGGTGTGCATGATAGTTAACATCCAATTCCCACAGTTGATTCTGAAAACAAGTAAGTACTCATTTACAAAGTACAAATTACAACACTTTTTGAAACTTGCAACCATAAAAGTATCCCAAGGTGCAGTACAGGATGCAGGGCCATGTGCCTCCCATCAACCTAAGAGTGTGAACTGTTAGCATAAATGTAATGCTCTGCAAATGTAGCTATTAAAATGATAGCCAACAGGTTTAAGGAATGAAGAATACAGCAATGTGAGGGATCAATTCTGCTAAGAAAACAGAGAGGAAGAAACAATTCCACTAGTTGGAGAAACTGCACCAGCATACAAAAGCAGATTAGACTGATGGTTCCCAGCCTCACCACCCACCAAAAGATGATAACAGGTAGTTCCTTAAGTGTAAAAATGGCATTTCATATAAAAGTAGCTTAACTGGTCATGAAACATGCAGAGAATATTCACACCTCAAATTCATTTGAATTCTTACAAGCACAAACACCACACATGTGCCAATGACACTTTGACTGTAACTGGCCTATTTGAAAAAGTAATGATACATTTAAAAAGTCAGCTGATAAATTTAATCAAAATGTCTGAATACTTAAACAAATGTGGATAACTGGTGCCACTAATTATAGAGGCTTTTCAATTGTTTCTACTATTATTATTTCAAAGGGCAGTGAAACTAAAACGTTCCTTGGGTGAAATGAAGTGAAATTAAGAGCATGTCAGCAGTGAAGAGAAGGGCTCGGAGCTGTGCCGTGCTGTGCTCTGTTCCGCCCAAGGTAGCTGCTCGGGACCTTTCATCCTTTCACATCTTCGGGCATGAATGATGTCACCTGTTGCTAGGAAAAACGTATCGCCTCGTTTCAGGGCTTGGCAAACTAGCAATGAGGAAGTGACTCAACTGTTGTCTTAAAACCTTCTTGCAATTTTAGCTTCTGTACATATTGTTAAAAGTTTGACACTGTCACCCAGCTATTAAAGGGGGGCTTCTCTTAGGCTTAAAAATGTGCTGACTGCCAAGTTTCAGCACAATGAATTTAACTACCCTCTCATAAACTGTTTAAAAAGTGGGAGGGAGGTTAAGAGAAACTGGCACTCTAGAAGTATTTGACTTGTTCCTTAGCAAAAATAATCAACAAGAAACACCAGAGAAAACCCTGGGGACAAAGTTACTTAATGGCATTGCTCTCTCTGCTGAGATAAAGTACCTGAAAGATTCTCTGAACAGAAGTTTCTCCTGAGAGGATAAGTTACTTTCCAAATCAACGATAACAAGAATAACATGGAAATTTTATTTTCAATTTCTTCAAAAAGCACTGCCTGTGCCAGTAGCTAGCAATCCCTGGTAGCTGATGCATACACAGGCAAAAGCGTATTCACCTCCTGCCCTTCTGCTTAGGAGTTAGACAACATGTTTAAAGCTGCGGAAAGGGAAACAGCTGCAAAACTCAACAGGTAAAATGCCAGGCCTGTTGCTGGAAAAGAGTCCACTTCAGACTATGGGACTCGACTCTACGGAGGTGGCCTAGATGACCTCTTCCAGCCCTACTTCTCTGTGATTACTACCGGGTACAATACCCATTCCAGCGCTGCCTGACTTAGCTGCAAGACAGGGTCATATGCTGTCCCAGAACCAGTATTTGGGGATTTTTTAAGTAGCCAGAAGCATGTTCTAGGCCTTCAAGAAACAAAGAACATAAAATCTCTGTTTACTGCGATAAAGCAAGCGAGTCCAAACAGACAAGAGGAGGAGGAGAAGGACAATGACAAAAAGACAGTTTCAGCAAGATGTACAAATCCTTACACAACGAACACCTGAGCCATATACAGCTAAACTGCAAGGTGTGCTGTCAGCATTTCAGGCCATGTGCTTTTAGAAGACTCATGTAGACAGGAAGCATGGCACCCTTTCCATCTATTACAGGCATATAACCCACCTTACCTTAGAGTACAAGCGCTTTACTATTTACCTATCCACCCTCAGTGTCCTATGCGGCAGTGCATTTCAGAGTTCCCCACTTTACAGATGGGAAAAGTGAGGCACAGAGGCCAAGTAACATGCCCATGATCACATAACAGATCTGGAGGTGCAAGAAACCAAACCCGAGTCTCCCACACTCCAGGCTACAGCCCTATCTGGCTATCCTCCGCCAAGCAGTTTTTCAACCAGTTGAGCATATTAGCAGTTGAGTTGAGCCGTGTCCCTCCTCTACAGTAGACTTTAAAAAACTTGTCAGTGGGCATATGAGCTAATGTGCCAAAAGCAGCTATTTTAAATCTCTGCCTGGAGAGGGCCCTGAAGAATATGAAAGGGAGAAGAGGAAGTATGTGGTGAGAAACAGAGGTAAGACAGCTGTAGTGACAAGATCAGGAGTTTAACAGTGAGTTCAGAAAGGCTGATTTACATACAGGCTTTAGAAAAGGGCTGGATCAGCTGACCTACGAAGCAAGAAACTGTATGGCCATCACTTGTGCACCACTGACCCCTTATTCCCTTGCTAGTGGAACACTAGTTGACTTCAATGACTTTCAAAGTGCTCAACTTAATGCCTGCCACAGGAAAAAAGCCCTTATGTGGGAAAGTGCCATTTCCTACACTGTTGCAAGTTGGGTCTGTTAACAGGGCCAAGTCTGGACAGATATGTACTGAAACTGGAAAATACAAAGCAAACTTGATCTGAGGTACAGTATAGCTTATATTGCCTACAAAACAGCAAAAAAATATAGGCTTGGTAAACATGAAGAAAAGCACTTTTTTTTGTTTTGTTTTGCCAGTTTTGAAAACTATTCAGCAGCCTGTTGATAAAACTCCAAAATAAGATTTTCCCTTGAGTGGGGGTAGATTTATCCTTGCTACCTCAATATCTTCTTTACATGTTCATTTCAAAACAGGAAAATGCCTTTAGTGTCAATCCTGAGGCAGAGACTTTTAACACTAGTACGGCACTCAACCAGGAAAATCACGAGGCAGCACCGCCAGATGTGAGCAAACCACCAAAGAAAATACAGAAGTGGTGTGACAGCTCCTAGAAATTTATGAGAGGATGATATATGGTACAAGCATGGTGCCTGCATATACTATGAAACTATACCTATACACACAGGACAATACAACCTGGTTAAACTTACAGGTTTGGCGCACACGGGGTTTTGATGAGATCGACCTGCGTACCGCTTGGAAAAAAAGTTTATTTTTTACCCTACCAAACAAGCCGTCCTGTCACCATGCGTGCTTTTTTGGCACCCAGGTTTGAATTTACAGATTTGACATCCAAATAAATGCATAAGAAAAAGATACAAAGGTGAACTGAGAAATACCTGTCCAGACCTGAGTTCAGGGGTCTGGGCTTCTGCTACTGACACCAGCAACTGCAGCTAAAACCAACACAGTCCTGCAACCCCAATTCTGTCTTTGATAAGTTAGCAGCAGGAGCACAGACCGAGCAAGAATGCAAGCTTTCACAACCCAAAATGAAACATACTTCACATGCTAGAATTGGTTCTGGGCTTTATCAGCATTTCAATTCACCTTTAAAACTTGTATTTTAATGTCCCCACGGTTTGCAAACAGCTCGTTGCAGGGGAGCAGGACCACACACACAGGGATGGGCAGCCTGTTGCGACCTGGATAACACGCTGCAGCCTTGACATTACTACAACCATATGAAACCGCCATTTTTCTTTTTAATACAAGTTTCCTAGAGTCCAAGTCACAAATCCAAGACATCTGCGATCCTCAATGATTATATTTCCTTCTGCAGTTGTATGACCCCAACTTCTTTTCCTCCCTCCCCGAGCAGTGCTCTCCCCTTCCTTCCCAAGCCCAGGCCGAAGCCCCAGGTAGCAGCAGACCCACCCCGCCCTGCCCCGCCCCACCCCGTGGTGGGGAAGAACATCGCTCATTTTCCCAGCTGAAGTTGGGCCTTAAAGAGTCTCCCTTACTCACCTTTGGCTCCTATCCCCCATCTCCCTTTTCTTTTCCTAATTTCTACCTATTTACACATTGTCATAGACACTTTTCGCTTCTTTCATTCCTTGAAGATGATCTCACGCCGGCAGAGTCCCGATGCCAGATGAGGGGGGATTGCGCCCACAAGTTCGCAAAGAACGTTTCCCCCAGCCATTTCATTGGTTTAATAAAAGAGCAGAGAAACGCAGCTGTGGGGCTCAGCCCAGAGCCGTTTCCCACTTAATGAAAGATTGATGTTTCATTTATATCGTTTTTAAAGGAACAAAGCTGTAGTGCTTTATAGTTTTTGCAATTATAGTTTTTGCATCTACCCAAAGAACCGGCCCAGGCCCCAGGCAGTGGTGACGGTGGCTGACACACAAGCTGCTGCCCTGGCTTCTGGGATTCGTGCTTTCAGGGTGCTGCTTGACTGGGATTCATGTATTCGGGGTCTTGGGATTCGCACTTTTGGTGACACTTCTCACTAAACAAGTAGGAAGCGGCCCTGGGCCGAGCCCCAAGGCTGCATTTCCCTGCCGACCGCTCTCCTAAAAGCCCTGCCAGGGTGGCCGGAGGTGGGGAGCCACCCGCCCGCCGCCACGTGCTTGAGGAGGGGGCTCCCCTTGCCCCCCCCGCCCCCCGGCTCACCTGCGCCTCGATGGGCCCCGGTGGGCCCTGACCCGCACCGGCCGCGCCCGGGCCCTGCCCCGGCCCCGGCTGCCCCGGCCCGGGCGGAGTCTGCGTCTGGCTGGGGAGCGTGAAGTCGGTGAACTCGAACTCGGAGCCCTGAGTGTCGGCGCCGAGCAGCTCGG